GTTTTGGTGGCTTAGTCTAGTTCATTGTCACTTGGCAGTTTGAACACCACCAATTTACTCTTTTTCCTCATGTCCGCTCGCAGATCCGCACCCGAGCCATCTCTGCCAAGGGCATGACCCTCGTCACCCCCCTGCAGCTGCTTCTCTTCGCCTCCAAGAAGGTCCAGTCTGACGGCCAGATTGTGCTTGTGGACGACTGGTATGGACCATCAGAGGGGGTTCTGGGCTCAGTCTTAGAGTCTATATCCCGCGTGGCGGGCGTTATAGGGTATTTGTAGCATGGTGTCCCCGCAGAACAGTGCGTCCTGATAGCATATCTTGTGATGCACCGACTGTACCACTGAAAGCAGATGCATTAGGTACGTCCCCCACATTGAGGGGATGGCACCACTACCACAGACATAGACCCCCAGAGGTGCTTGGCTTCCCTGTGGTGTATGTGTCGATTGGCCACAGAGCTGCCTACAGGAACTCGGGGAATAATCGCAGTAGGCTAGCCACATGCCCGGAAGCCTGCAGTGTCCCACTATTCCAAGTAGGGCTGCGTTCTTCCGGGAGGCTGGATGGTCTGTACTGGGAGCAGTATTTGGGCTGAGAGCCTTCCTGGTGTAGGATTCTTGCATGTTTATAGGGTTGTCAGGCTGTCTGCCTGAGTCTGGCTTGCCCGGTAGCCTCAGGTAGACTCGCCCTGTTGACTGTCTTCTGATGTTTTGTGGCTTCTCTCTGTCTTAGGATCAGGCTGCAGATGAGCCACGAAGCTGCTGCCTGCATCACTGCCCTGCGGGCTGCCATGGAAGCCCTGGTGGTGGAGGTGACCAAGCAGCCCAGCATCATCGGGCAGCTGGACCCGGCCAACGAGCACATGCTGAACACCATCCGCCAGATCTCCCGGCCCTCGGCTGCGGGCATCAACCTCATGGTGGGCAGCACACGGTAAGGGTCCCACTGCCTTCTCCTGGCACCAGGCCACGCATGGGCATCTCTGGGAGGCCCAGAGTTAGTTGAACTTCTAGAGAAACGTTAAGGGTGGACTTGAATTCTGGCCGAAACACTCAGAACCAAAGGATGCTAGTTGACTTTTGTGGTGTGCTCCTCTCCTGCTCAAATAGTTAGGGACAGAGGGGGCCTGGCAAGTACGGAGCCCATCCAGGGGGCCGCGCGGTGGAAGGTGATGGCGCAGGTGTCGTTCCCACCTTCAGCGCTGCCGTGCGGCTGGGAACCAACCTAGCCGACTGCGTGTGGGCATCTTCTCTAAGGCTTCATCGGCCTCGGGCGTTTTCCATTTGGGATTACTCCCTGCTTACAAAGGGCAGGCGAGCAGCACGAGCCACTCCCGAGTCTCCCCGAGGGTTGCTTGTCTGGCCTGTGTGCCGTCACTGGTGGGACAGGTGCAGCTGAGATTCCATGTCAGTGTAGTGACCACCTCAAAAATTCCAAACAGTGACAATAATTAATTTTAAAATTCTGGCAGTTATCCCAATGACTCTGCAGGAGTCACTCCCTGCCTTTGTTGTACATGCACGGCACTCGAGCACGAGGGAGAGAGCTTCCATCCTGCCTTAGTCCTCCCCAGACGGTGGGGACTCTGTCCTCATCTGCCACATGAGCAGGGAGCTGGGCTGAAAACTGCCACCACCCCATGAGGGCTGCCTGCACTGTCACAGCCACCCATCCGACTTGTCCTGTTCTTGCCCTCTGTGTGTCAGGAAGGAATGTAGCCCCAGGTGACGTCATTCACAGGCCTCAGAGCGAGCGGCTGAGAGATTTTTGAGAAGGGAAGTGTCATGGCCAAGCACAGGGGAAGAGCAGTGAAGATAGGAGGGTGGTGGGTACCCTCGTGACAGAGCGAATCAGAACACTGGAACAGCAGTACGTGGGATCAGCAGCCTGGTCTATGGTATAAGGACAGTGGGGAGGGAGGGTTAAGGGGAAGTGACGGAATTCATACAGACGGGGAGGGGATCAAAACAGGCTGTCTGCACTGTGGGTGTGTCCGTGGAAACCCCAGCCCTACGCGTGTTTTTTGGTTCTTGGTTCTTGTTTTTCTGTTGGAAAGGCAGATTTACAGAGAGGAGATAAGAGAAAAACCTTCCATCCACTGGTTCACTCCCCAAGTGGCCGCAATGGCCAGAGCTGAGCTGATCCGAAGCCAGGAGCCTCATGCTGGTGCAGGGTCCCAAGGCTTTGGGCCATCCTCGACTGCTTTCCCAGGCCACAAGCAGGCAGCTGGATGGGAAGTGGAGCTGCCAAGATTAGAGCCAGCACCCATAAGGGATCCTGGCAAGTTCAAGGCGAGGATGTAGCCACTGAGCCATCACACTCCCTGCCCCTGCCCTCCTGCCCCTGCCCCCCTGCCCCTGCCCCCCTGCCCCTCGGGTGGGTAGCACCTTCGATTTTTGTAGTTTCTCATTGCTACTAGGAAATCTCCCAAGACATTTTTTCTCAGAAACTGTTTCTGAGTTAATAAGGAAAATGGTAACAAAGACAAAATTACTTATTCCCAACTCCCAAGAATGTGAGTTCCTAACACTTGCCTTCTTGGAAGGAAGTGGGGTGAGAGGGCCCATTGCCAAAGCTCTAGGCCTTGGAGCATACAGTGGTGACCCCAGGGAGCACAGTGTCACGGGGGCCTCAGACTCGATTCTCTCAGCTTGTTGGCTTTCCGTAGACAAGGCATGGCAGGGTCACCTTGCTAAAGTGGCTTTGTCCTTTTCCTAGGTATGGAGATGGCCCCCGGCCCCCCAAGATGGCACGCTATGACAATGGGGGTGGATACAGAAGGGGAGGCTCCGGCTACGGCGGTGGAGGCTATGGCGGCGGCTACGGCAGCGGCGGCTACGGTAGCGGCGGCTACAGAGGAAGGGGAGGCTATGGAGGAGACGGCGGCTACAGAGGAGGGGCCCGGGGCGGCTTCCGAGGGGGCTCAGGCGGGGACTACAGGGGTCCTGGGCGAGGAGGCTACCGAGGGGGTGGGGGTTTCCAGCGAGGCGGCGGCAGGGGCGCCTACGGTGGGGGCTACTTTGGGCCGGGCAGGGGCGGCGGTGGTTATTAGGGTTGGTCGTGCCAGTGCTTGTGCTTAGGGAGTTAGACCAGTGCATGCCCCGTGTTTTCCCAAGAGGTTCTGCCCGTGTGTCCGTGGCCTCACCCAGTCTGTAGTCCATTGGAGTCCCAGGAAACCCAGCGTCTGGATCCATCAGTGGTCCTGTTTATATTGTGTAAGATATAGGCCGTTATAAAGATACCACCATTTGTATTTTTTTTCCTTTAGGTTTTTGCCGTTAAAGTTAACTTGGTATTTTTTTGGGGGGGGGGCTTTTGTTTAATATTATTAAAAAGTGAAGTATTACACAGACTCTGGGGTGTGTAATTGATTGCTAACCTTGTGTGTTAGAATCGTTTGCTTTAGCCACACATTCCTTGGTTTTCAGTGTAAGAAGTGTGCCCTCAGTGCAGGAAGTGCACCAAGTGATCCATCCTTTCCTTGGAGCCCCTCTCGAGCTGCTGCTCTCGTCCTGCACAGCACCGAGAGCCACTGAGGAGTAGCTGGGCTGTCCTGGCGGTCACCGGGAGCCCAGGCCGGCCAGTGCGGAGCCCCTCCTTCCTTCTGGCATGTGATCCTGCACTGCCCTCCTTGGGGAACCAGGCCTGCTGTCCTGTACCTGAGGGGATAAAACCTTTGCATGCGATTAGTTGCATTGGGCATTCTCTACAGTTTAATTCATTACAACTTCAATTCATTTTAGGTTTTGTGTACTTGTTTGGGAAGAGGACAGACTGGGCCCTTCTGTCCACTGGCTCAGGCACCAGGGCCATCCTCCACTGCTCCACCAGGTGTTGGAGGGAATGGATCAGAGGTGGGGCATGCAGGGCAGGAACCGACATTCTGATAGGCTGGTTTTACCAGCTGCGTCGTGGTTATTTTTAACGTTAGCTTACAATCACATCTTTAGAAGTGGCACAGCTTTAATAAGAAGCATGATTGGGTTAGGTCAACCTGTTGATCTGCATGTTTTGGTGTTGTAGCTTTGTCAGCATTTCCAAATCCGCATCCCTGTGAGTAATTGCAGTGGTTTTTAATGTTATTGGTGAGGTCATCAAATGGTATCTTACATCATGGATCTGAAAATATCCAGTTTTTTTCACTGCTGCTGTGTGGCAGCAGATGGCTGCTCAGATGTTGGGGGGCCCTGGAAGGAGCAAGGCTAGGACGTGGAGGTCTGGAATGACAGTCCTTCGCGTATCCGAAATGGCCCGGTACTAGATGGGCCCTGGGTTTCCTCCTTGAGGGAGTGAGGCCTGGGTCCTTACACTGTCTCCTGCATGCGCACCCCAGCCGAGCTCTCCCAGGCTTGGCCCCCCGCAGGCCTGCTCTAGCTGAGGCCAGGAGCTGGAGCCACATGACCCAGGGCTCCATGTCGGGGGCAGGATCCGGCCACTTGAGTGTTGGTCAGCAGGAAGCTGAGGACAAGGGTGCCAGCCCATGCGTTCCCGATGGAATATGGCAGCCTGGGGTGGGAGGAGCCAGTCTGAAGACCGCACTTCCTGGTGTCCTGTGTGATGTGTAGGGTGGCAGTCTGGAGGGCTGCATGGTGGGGTTCCCTGTGCGGCCTTGTAGAAGGTTCTGGGTCTTCCACTTGGCTGCATTTGGATATCAGACAGTTTACAGTGTAACTACCGGCTGTCCATGAGCAAGGAGTGACTGAAAGAGTGACAAGGGTGCTGTCGCCCACAAAGCTGGGGCTGGGAGCCTGGGACTTAGTCCAGGTCTGCCAAGTGGCTGGCACAGACCCAAGTCTGAGATGGGGTGTGTGCTTCCTCGGAGAGAAGCACATGGAATGCCGTCCGGGGAGCAGGTGTCAGCCATCGCCCTAGGCTCTGGCATTGGTGATGGGGCTGCGACCCTGCAGTGTGCGTGGCCTACAGGGTGGCTTCCCTGATATGGGAAATACACATCAAAGCCTGCCTAGCACATGTTGCAGTGAGTCCGTGAATGCAGCTGAATGTTCCAATATTTTAATGAAGCTCTAAGAATATGAATCAGATTTCTGGAATGGACTTTAACTCGCCACCACCTGAATGTCCCCCTTCAGGTTGGCCTCCAGCTTGTTGTTGCTCATCTCCAGGTCGAGGTTCTGCATGACCTTGCCAAGCACTTGGTCGTCCTTGGTGTCCCCCGAGGCGGCCCCGTTGCCCAGGGCGTCCACGATCAGCAGCTGGCCCGTGGGCTGGAGGATGCTCACGCCGTAGCCGCTGTTGCTGTGGATGTGGTTGTTTGCCATCCTCAGTCTGGGGGCCGGCAGCACCTGGGAAACCAGTGGAAAAACTTGTCAGTGGGTCCTTCCAGGCTCACTGCAGCGCCCGGCGTTCAAACAGTGGACTTTCAGTTTTAAAAAGTGCTGCTTTCCTCCCACTGGTTAATCTTAAATAATCCTAAGTGTTTCGTGAGAAAATACCAAACTCCATAGAGCTATGGTAATAACCCCTAAAGCTCATCGCTGTTACAACAATGCATGAAATCATCTCAGATGGTAATGTGGCATGGAGAAGACAACCAAGACAAGCTGACCGGACAGGGGCATCCTTAGCCAGGGACTTGGGGTGGGCAGTTAGGGCCTGGGTGACACCCAGGCTGGGTGAGTGAGTGCTGGGTGCATGAAGCCGAGAGGCTGGACTAGCAGGTGTCAGGAGGAGGCCAGGACAGTCCTCATGGCATTTAGCTTGGTGACGCCCTGGTCACAGTCTCTGCCAGGGAGTCCCCACGCCAGCCCAAGCTGCTGAGACAGCCAGCACCTTGTGGTGTCTCCACGCACACCCCTAGCAGCCACTGCTAAGTGCAAAAGGGGTGGTCCGAGTCTACATGTGGAGTGGGGAGGAGACAGGACTGCTAGTGCGGGTCGAGTACCCCTCACGCATACCAAGCCTAGAATTAAACAGGTAATGCCAGAAACTACTTCCTGTGCAAAATAGGACATACTATATAAATTCAGCTTCAGGCTGTGTGGCTGAAACAGGAACTGCATGCCAAGACTTGAGACGCCCAGCTCTTTGTATGACCAAAGTGTAGCTATTCCGGTAAAGGGAGATCCCAGTTGCTGCTGCCTCCGGCATTAGTGGATGAGGAATGCGCAGCCCCAGCAAGCGACAGTCCCTGCCCAGGGAAGCAAAATGGCACCACTTGGGGCACCCCGACTTGAGCCCTGGCTCTGCTTCACCTCAGCTGCCTTTCAGGGTGCTTCTGGACTACAGCTTGAGGGCTGGGTGGAGCTGGGGAAGATGGGTTACTGTGCTAGCGTCCCAGCACTGGGAACGGCTGGACTTGTTCATGTGTGCTGTCACGCTGCCTTCCATTGAGAACAAGGTAGGGGTCTAGGCATGACCAGCCTAAGATGGGCACAAGGGTCTCAGCCGGGGTTCTTGTCCCGCACCCCCCACACTCACAAGACACAGGGTACCTTCACGCTGACGCCGCCTAGGGCGCTCTGGGCGCTGTCGCTGCTCCTGAGGTCATTACAGTGGTGGATCTCATTGCGCTCCAGGACGGCCGTGCTCCCGGGGTACAGTTCGACGCCGGCGCCCTGTGTGTCAGGGGCACGAGGTGTGTGTGGGTCCGGAGAACCGCTGCCAGCTCACAGCCCATGGTCCTCCAACCTCGTGCATCCAGTGCCCGCCCCTCCAGAAAGCGCTGCAAGGGCGCGCTCCTTCTTTCTCCTGTTCAGCCCTCCAAGCTTTTCATGATCTTAACATCACTACTAAACACTAAAGTTTTCTGTTTCTCAGAAGCCTCTGACTAACCTAACGATCTCCGACAAATCAAGGACTGGACACACTCGTTTCTGTGCTTACAAAGCAAGACGCTTACAAGTACTTACAAAGCACTGACCTGTGCTCTGTTATTTGAAACAAAGCTAAGGGGGCCGGTGTGGCGGCCTCGCAGGTTCAGGTGGTGCCTGTGACACTGAGGTCCCATGCGGCCCCCGCTCGTGCTGGTGCTCAGGACCCTTCACCCACGTGGGAGACCCGGACGGAGCTCCTGTCTCCTGCCTTCCTGTCCTTGCACGGCCCAGGCTGCTGTGGCCAGCTGGGGAGAGGCTAGCAAGCTCTCTGTGTCACACTGCATTCCCTAGTGAAACTTGTCCTGAAAGCGCCTGGCACGGATGGGCCTGCTCCGGCTGCCCCGTGTGCACGAGCCCTCCCAGCCTGGCTAGCCACATCACGGATGTCGCACCTGGGCCCCCGTGATTTCACTGTCGGTCACTGTCAAGGCCGCCCCGGTGAGAACGCACACGCCTGTCCCTTCACACTTGAGCACGCAGTTTTCCAGAGTCATGTGGCCTGACTCGACCACCACGATGCCGTCCACCGTCCCTTGCTGTACCAGCGACAGGTGTGTTAGCTTGACATTGTCGGCTTTGGACACAACGAAACTGTCGTGAGAGGGCTCCGAAGTGATGATAATCTCCTCTCTCCTTCCAACACCTGATTCGTAGGGATGGAAACGGTCAGCCACCGGACGCCAAGGCCTGCAAGCGCCCCGGGCGGTGGGGGGCTGTTCCACCGCTTCCCACCAGTCACGCCCATCTGCTGCCGTCTGCCTTTGAAGTGTGAATCTGGGTTCCTGCCAGAATGCACTGAGGGTTCTCACAGCGTGACTCCCGTGCCCGTGCTTCGCTGACCAAGCAGCGGTCACATGCGGGACACCCCGACTCAGAGCCCCTAACCCAGGACAAGCCGAGACGCCTCAGCCGACCTGCTTGCTGTCATGTGAGTTCATGTGCAGACTCGGTAAGGCCGTGGGATTTCTGAAAGCTTTGAAACCCTTGCATATGTTTTCTCGACTTGCTGATGACCCTGGCTGACCCAATGGTCATCCTGTGATCATCAAAAAGCAGGAACGTTTTTGCCTGGTTTTGGAATTGTTACCATTTGAGGAAGGTGTAGTCCTGATTTTATGCAAGAACTAAAACCCCGGAGTCCTAATGAACGCTACCAAGAGGGGCATCCACTTGAGCCAGCACTGATGCCGGCCGACCTCTAGGAACAGCCCCAGCTAAACCCACGGGCCTGCCCGCGCCTGGTGTCACCCCAGGGACCTCTTACCTCCAGCATGGGGAACCTGCAAGCTTAGCACACCTTCCCATGAGAGAGGAATTTGCTTTTTTTAACAACACACTGAGTGTTTGTTGACTAAAGTCACATCAGAGAGCGGAACCTAGTTAAAAATGTGGCCAGTAGGTCATGACGGTGGAAGACTGAATCCTGCTGCCCCGGCGGTGTACGGGGCGCCTGCGTGGTGCACAGTGCCTCCCGCACAGCAAGCCACGCATCAAGCACAAACCCTTTATAACGATGTCCTCGGTCAGCACGGCGAGGTTCGAAGCCTGGTACTCTCCTGGGAAGATGACCACTGTGTCCCCACTGTAGCAGCTGTCCAGAGCCACGTCCAGGTCCCCGTGCTGCTGCAGGAGTGTGTCTGCCGACAAGCCCTTCACCTGTAAAGGCAGACAGGCCGCGGGGTGCCAGGCGCGCCCCCCTGAGCCCTGCAGGACAGCCCTCTCGTCCCCAACACGCACACACAGTCAGTATTCATGTGCGGATGCTGCCAGTGCACCTGCTGGCCTTGGAGGAGCTGGGGCTCCACAAGGCACCGGCTGCCCACGGGCCCTCTGGCCGGCCTGATCCTGGGCCCCAGCTCTCCTCTAGGCACCTCTGCCAGCTAACCCGAGATGCCCTTCTGCTGAGCTAAGTCACAGCCCCTCATGTAGGACAGGCTGGAGCTAAGACAGTGGTGGGAATGTGGGGGACCCTGTGAGCACTGTGAGGGAGGACTCCGTGGAATCTGTGAAGTAAAATGCACCCTAAGTGCCCAATATTTTAAATCACTGGAAAATGGCATTGTGGTTCACATACTCTTCCCTTAGTATAGACATGACACTTGCTATGACTTGTTCTAAAAATTAAACATTATGAAAGAAAAAATGTACAGAAAAAGCTAACTTGTAAGTTGGGCCATATAAAAACTTCTATTGAGCTGTTTTCTCTAAAATTTTCCCACGCATGTACTTGCTCATGTGCCTGCTCGCCGCACACCACGTCCTCCTGTGGCACACGTATCCGCGCTGATGCCACTGGAAATACCACGCAGCATTGTGAAGCATGCGAACGGCCAACACACAGCTGGTGCTCTGGGGCGTGGGCAAGCCTGGGAGGCGAGTGCAGGGGCGCGCCTCATGAACAGCAGCTCGGCAGGCCTTCCTGTGGCAGGGATGTGAAGGCTGAGGCCTGAGGGCGATTCGTGGCAGCTGCACCTGCTGAGCAGCTGTGACACTGCCTCACACAGGTCCAGCATGCTTACCCCTGGGGAGATGGCATGGGGACACAAGCCAGCCTCCTGCGGCCCAGTAGCATGAGCTAGGCCAGGTGGTCTGTAGGAGTAGCGCAGGGTGGCCGAGGGGGACCAGAGTGCAGGGCAGACGGCCACCAGACAACCGGAGGCCGGGAGGGAGCGTAGAGGCCCACACAGTCCACGCACGGCCAGGGGAGAGCCAGGACAAACCAGCAGCACGCCCGGTCTGCTCTGCCATGCACAGTGAGGGACACCTTCGCTCACAGGAGGTACACACACCAGCGTGGCCAGCTTCCTAACTGCCCATCTCCAGCTAGTCTGTGATGGCCACACTTCCCTAGCTGTGCCCACGTCCGCCTGTCTGCTCTGTCATTGTAACTGCTTCAACCTGTTCTTGCCACGGCCACATGGCTGACGGGCCCCAGCTGCGGGTCGCCCCAGTGTTCACTCACCATACTCTGCTGCAACCGCTGGGCTGAATGTAACAAAGGAAACCATGCACTCATGAGTCACAGGGGGATGCAGCTGCCGGTGGTTAATAGTAAAGTGGACCAGCGAGGACGAAACGAGTCTTACCATGTCTGTGGTCATCACTTTGGCCACAATGTGCGTTATGGTCTTTCCGAGGTCTCGCTTTCCCTTCCTGCGTCTCAGGATCCTTGGAAAGAAAGGCCCGTGAACTCTAGGGTTGGAAACAGTCATGGTTAGGTCAGTACCTAAAGCCGAGCATGTCAGAGACCCAGGGGTCAGCTGCCAGTCCTCTCAGCTGTGGGTTGGCTCTGGCTAGGCTATTCCTGTCCTGGTAACATGACACCTGCTTGCCGCCCCCGCAGCCCACAGCCTCAGCTCCTCCCCTGAAATCCACAGGTTAGTTGGGCTTGTAGACAAAACAGACTTGTCTCTCAAAGACATGGGTTCCACAGCCCAGCTGGCGCTCAGTGGACTTCTCTGCTGGTCCTAGTGAGCTGTCCTTCCAGTCTATCCTTACAAGTCTCTCTCACTCAGCCTGGATCAGGTCTGTTTCTCCAACAGGAAGTGAGAGGACACACACAGCCCCACTGGCCGGTCAGCCAGGAGCCAGGACTGGCAGCGAGCTCTGGCCGCTCCTCCTCTGGGTCTCCTGTGGCAACTCTAGTTACTGTTTGGTGCCTGGGATTTTTGAGCCTACATCCCAGTTAGCACACATCCTTTTTGTAAGGTAACATTTCCAGAAAATTTCTGCAGTTCCCAGGCAGCTTCCCCAGGGTGGGCTCAGTGCAGTGGCTGCACCCCAGAACGGCGGTCCCCTTAAGATGGACAGGTCACGCCCACTCCATCAGTAACAGCTAGGCATGGTCCCTCCTGGTCCTCACCACCTGCTGTGCAGCCACCATCCACAGGGTGAGACATCTTGACCCTGCAGGAAGCCTGCTCCTTATCACTGTCCTGTCTAAAGATGAATTTGGGACCACGTAGCTTACACGGTCCCCAATCCCAGGTAATCTGTTCCGTGCAGTCTCACTTGAACACACACTTGGCTCTGTTCTAGGGACCAAGACGCACCCAGGGTTGTCCTTGCCTCCGGCCACCAATTCCACCTGTGTCTCTCCTTGTTGATGTTTCTAGTACAGATACTGCTTTTAAGTTTATAGAGAGGGCTCAGCACAATGGCTCAATGGGTTAATCCTCTACCTACAAGCACCATCATCCCATATGGGTACTGGTTCATGTCCTGGTTGCTCCACTTCCCATCCAGCTCCCTGCTGTGGCCTGGGAAAGCAGTGGAGGACAGCCCAAAGCCTTGGAGCCCTGCACCCATGTGGGAGACCAGGAAGAGGCTCCTGGCTCCTGGTTTCGGATTAGCTCAGCTCTGGCTGTTGTGGCCACTTGGGGAGTGAAGAGCGGATGGAGCATCTTTCTGTCTCTCCTTCTCTTTGTAAATCTGACTTTCCAATAAAAATAAGAAATGTTTTTTAAAAGTCCATAGAAATTACAACTAGGTTTATTTTGGTGCAAGAATTTGAAATTCCTGTGTAGCTTTCTTTTTCTAAGATTTGTGTATTTCAAAGTCAGAGTTACTGAGAAAAAAAGGGGTTCACTCTCCAAATGGTCATAACAGGGTTGAGCCAGGCCAAGGTCAAGGATCTCCCTGCGGGGTCTCCCACGCGGGTGCAGGGTCCCAAGGCTTTGGGCCGTCCTCCGCTGCTGTCCTCTGCCTAGAGGTGTTGCTGCCGTGTGGCTCCGAGAGCCCTGCCCACATCCAGCTAAGCCGCTCACCGCAGTCGCAGGTCCTCCCACATCTTGAGCAGGCTGCACAGCATGACGATCTCGTAGTATTTCTTCCAGCACTCCACAGCCTCGGCTGCAGACGGGTCCTCCTTGATGCTGCCCTGGTACTCAATGAGCTCCGCGCGCTTGCTCTTGTACTTCTCCAGCGTCTTCCGGAACCGCTGTGCGATGGGGCCGGGGATCGTGCCGTCCTGTATGTCACACCACCTGCAAGGCAGCGCGAGCTGGGACGGTGCCCAGGCCGACGCCCCGCAGCCCCCACACCTGCACGTACAAGTTGATCCTCTCTTCAATCAGAGCAGTGTAGTTCTCACAGCTTTCCTCCTCATCCCAGTCTCTCCACAGGAAATCATAGAAAAACCTACGGAAAAGCAAAGTCTGCCAGGGCTCTCCGAGCCCGCCTTGCCTGAGGGGCGGCTCTCCAGAGGACAGGGCCTCAGGACAGAGATCTTGAGATGGACTTCCCGGAAGCCACAGCAGCAGGTGAAATGGGAGGCCCCTGGCTGCTCTCAGACCCGGCTGCCCCAAGCTCATGTACGGGACAAACAGAACTGCAAGGCTGACTCGCAGGAAGACACATGGTGTTCATTTCCACAGCTGCTGGAAACCCATGGCCAAATGCAAGATCAAACACTACACACAACACCTCCACAAGGAAATTTACCCGTGATTTGATTAAAAACAAGCAAATCAGGCTGCTGTACTGAGTCAACTGGCTCATCCTCTACCTTCAAGCACCGTCACATCCCATATGGGCGCCGGTTCATGTCCTGACTCCTCCACTCCCCATCCAGCTCCCTGCTGTGGCCTGGGAAAACGGTCGAGGATGGCCCAAAGCCTTGGGACCCTGCACTGCGTGGGAGACCCGGAAGAGCTCCTGGCTCATGGCTTTGGATCAGCACAGTCTGCTGTTGCAAAGTTGGGGGATGAACCAGCGGGTGGAAGAGCTTTCTGTCTCTCCTCCTCTCTGTAAATCTGACTTTCCAATAAAAATAAAGCGTAAACAAATGGGGGGAAAAAAGAGAAAAAACACAAGTTAACCTGGCAGTGAGCAAACAGCAGTGACACGTGACCAGCTCTGCCTCCCGGGGCCACCTTACCTTGCCACCTCTAGGGCCAGGGCGATGTCGTCCACGGCGGCATCCTGACCCTCCACGGGGTACACCTCCAGGAGGGGCACGCTGTGCCCCAGCTCCTCCAGGGTTTCATCCACCACTTCGCGAGGGATGTTGGCGATGTTGGAGGCGAAGGGCTCAGCCACCGAGACACTGACCTTGAAGCAAGGCGAGGAGCTCTGGCGTAGCTGGCAGGTCACCTGGGCGGACAGGCAGCCATGAGCCCACGGGCGGGACGCTCGCCGGGGGCTGCCTGGCAACCCTCTGGGCAGAAAGGTGTTCTACTAGCCAATAGCACAGCAATCACAGACCTGTACTGGATCCAATGCCAGCAGCCCCCAGCTCAGGTCTTCACTTTGGGTCCGTGAGACGCTCTGAGCTCCCCCCCCCCCCGCCGTCTCTGAAGCCCCACTCTCTGTGAGCCCCTGGCCTCTCTCCTCAACGCTGACAAGCGTCCTGTCTCTCATGGCCTCCCACCACGCTGGAGTTTCTACTTCTCTGCTGTATCTGGTGACCGGCTGTGTGAGCTCCTGCTGGAGAGGGAGGCACCACAATGCTGGCGGGAGGGCCATGTGCATGGAAAGAGGGTGACCCCTGCAGGCTGGAGAGCCAGCCAGCGTGCCGCTCTTGCCCTGCCCAGCCCTCAGCCAGCACCCCAAGACCGCAGGCCTGGGATTTCCACCATCACTTCTGCAGAGGTCACCTTTGGGCCTCGCTCTCCCAGATCTGTCCTGGAACTCTGCAGACACAGGGCAGGTCCACAGACACCTGATAAGTTCTCACAAGCCTGGTCCATTTCCCGGCAGGTCCAGCTGCTGTGACACCATCTCCCACAGGCACTAGCTCCAGCCCTGAGCGCCCCACCCGAGCCCCGGCTTCCTGTGTGGGGAACCAGAAGGCACGATCCTCTGGCAGCGTGGCCTCAGTGGTTGTGGTCGTTTCGGAAGATCTCTGTTGCTCTTTCAGACGAATCACAAAAAACCTAGTTTCTCTGTGGTGTTGTGCAAGTTGTGCCTTGCTGTCTTGAGGTTCACTGACTCCTACGCATGTGTGAGTCCGTCTGCTCATCTGTGCATATGTTCATGTATGACGCACACGCATTGCATACATACAGGCCACTGTGCACGTGTCGTTCTGTATGCAAATATTTATTATGTATGCGTTTGAATATGCATGTATATTTATACCCGTGTGTGTTATGTCACAAGTGTGTGTTTGTGCGTGTACTTGGGCAGGTGTGCATGTCTGTGCATTGTGTATTGGTTTATAAGTGTGTGTATTGTATCTTCGTGCAGTATTTGTGTGTTTATGCATGCATGTGTGGCTGGACGCATGGGCCTTGCGTCAGTCTTCAGCTGTCTGTCAGCTCTGCATACAGCCTTGGGCACTCACGCCTTGTCCTGGGGGATGGGCTCCTGCTGGCCGGCCGTGCCTTCACCTTCCCAAGCCCAGGGTTCACTCAGAGCAGAGGCAGCCTGCCGTCCCCACCTGCTTCTCCAGGCTCTGCTGTGGTCCCCGGAGGCCATCTTCAACCTCGCTTAGTCCTTGATACAGCCTTCTCTGGGCCTTGAGGGTGGCTTCTAGACTGGGCTCAGGCGGTATGAACTGGGCCTGGCGGTCTAAACTGGCCTCACTGGCCCAGCACTGCTGATGCCTCAGGAGACAGCCATTCTTGTTCTGTGAAGTCACCTGCGGCTCCTGGATCTGCTCTATGCCTGCTAAATATGGCTGCTGTCTTCCTTCCCATCACCTTTGCTCCGGGTTACTTTCAAAAGTTCCTTTGCTGTCATTCTGCTGGTGGGGGCTCTAAGGACAGAGAACTCCCACACATTTTCAGGAGGAAAACGACACCAGCATCATCCACCATCAGTAGTGTTGCCTTCTGAGCAGCAGCCCCTGGAATGCGACAGGAAAAAAACGCAGTCCAAGTTCTAAGTCTCAAGTCAAACCTTGAATCCGCACGCGGACTCGTGAGCAGAGCGCGAAGGTGCAGCCCACAAGGCACCGTCAGGTCCGTGGTCCTGGGCCAGGACAAACGGCGGAGGAGCCGGGGCTCTGCAGGGTGACGAGGAGGCGTCCCTGGGAAGCAGGCGCATATATGGTGAGAGGGGATGGAGAACTTAGGAGAGTCTGAGGGGAGCCAGGGAGGGCCCTGGAGGCCCAACAAGGTCAGTGGAGCTCGAGGAAAAGTGTCTGGGAAATAGAAGCAATAAACCATAACATGCCTTACATCTGCTCTGTCACACAGCCGGTATGGCGCCCCAAGATGCGACCATGCCAGCACCCTGTGTGAGTACTGTGGAAGGATGGAAACAGGAAGGGTGTGGGAACCCACCGGGAACGGCAGGTGGCAGTGCATTGGGAAGCACTAACCCTGCTTTCCAGGGCCAGGGCTGGGTGCTGGCACCCCTGGCACCCAGGCACGGGGTAGACCGGGCATGTGGCCATGACGTCCATGTTCAGGTAAGGCAGCTGGCACTGCAGGTACGGGGTAGACAGGTGGCCATGACGTCCAGTCAAAGCAGCTGGCACTTCAGGCACGGGTGGACAGAGCATGCCTGTGAAGTCCTTGGTTGGGCAAAGCAGCCAGTGCTGGCACTGCACGCATGGGGTCAACAAAGCATGGCAATGGGGTGGACAGGGCATGGCCAGGACGTCCACAGTCAGTCAAGACGGCTGGCACCGCAGGCACGGGAGGACAGGCCATGGCGGTGACATGCACAGCCCAGTGCTGCCCTGATAGAGCCCAGCAGGCAGGCAGAATCTTCCCCCCTGAGCTCCAAGATGGACAAGGATGGGAGAGCTCCATGCAAACACCTCTGGATGCCCCAGAGCCAAGATGGAGTGACAGGAGGTCGGGGAGGCCTTGCCACGGCAGAGCTTTCAGACTAGCTGGAGGAGAGAGTGTGGCTGGGGGTGGGGAGAGTGGCTGGTGGGGGAAGGGAGGTTGGTGGGGGAAGGGAGGCTGGAGGGGAAGGAGGCTGGTGGTGGGAGGGAGGCCCCTCACCGCGTTTCTTTCTGCTGCACAACCAGGACAGGCAGGGAGGTGGGTAGCCACGCGGTCCCCCCTCCCCACCCCAGTCAACAGCTCTCCACACCTGCTCCTGGTCTGGGGGCGGGCGGCCGACAGCTGCAGGGGGTCCATGGTCCAGGGAGCCCTTCTGCCTCCAAGCCCCATGCACTCTGTGCAGGGACAGCGTTCTGTGGGCAGAGTTCAGACGGCCTCTGCCTCGCGGGCGGATCACCACCTCCTCCACCGGCAGCTGGCCAGGTGCACTCACACAGCAGTGCACCTCGGCTGCACCGGCTCTGGCTGCATTGCTGGTCACCACAGAATAAAGTTCCAAAAACTGTTTTAGAGTTCTCGACACACTTGTCAAATTCTTTTCTTTTCTTTCAAATTCATTTCTTTGTTCCGTCTTTCCTTCCTTCCTTCCTCCCCTCCTACCTTCCTTCTGTATTTCATTTTGTTGGAAAGGTAGATCTTCTATCCACCGGCTCACTCTCCAAATGGCCATAATGCAATGAGCTGAGGCTCTCCCACGCGGGTGCAGGCTCCCGAGGCTTTGGGCCATCCTTCCTCCTCTGTTTTCCCAGGCCACAAGCAGGGAGCTGGATGGGAAGTGGGAACAGCCAGGACACTGGTGCACATGTGGGATCCTGGAGCTTGGAGGTGAGGATTAGACTGTTGAGCCACCACAACAGCCCCACCAAACTGCATCAAAATTCCTCCTGGAGTCGGGCCACCTTGTAGCTGGGTACCTTATAGTCCCACATTATGCGTGCCAATCTGGGGCTCATGGTCCCCAACTGACCACCCCTCAGCCTTGCACTCTGTGGACATGAAGGCAGCCAAGGATGGTGGAACGCTGAGGCGGCACTGTGTGCCCCAGCAGCAGAACCAGCCACACGCACATCCTGCCATCCCTCTGATGGGCCTTGCAGGGCTGCCAGGCTCTGCCCCCACCTTGCTGTGGCACAGCCTGGCCGAACAGGCGCCAGGCCCCAGGACCCACTCAGGGGACACTCCTTGCTTAAGCTGCCGAGTGCATGGTCAGGCCCTGGTACACAGCACCCTCCCTTCGCCCTCACCCTTCCTCTGCCCCCAGCCCTACCTCTGTGTAACCCAACACCCTACATTACAGTGTCCAGGTAAACCGTGTGAGGTGGGTCCACGGTGGCCTGAAGCTGTAGGGATCTGGGACAGCATCAGGGCCCTGAGGGAACATGGCCCTTGCTGCAGGCACATGTGCTTGCCTTACAGCCTTGGGCATGCATTACAACAGTGAAAAGCATAGCTCCCGGCCAGAAAATGCAGGGAGAAACACTACAAACAGAACATTCCAGAACCATGGCCAGTCCCAAAGCCTCCCCCCCCCCCCCACTCCCGGTCTCCTGCACCCTCTGAGCTGGAAACCACCCCAACACCTTCCCACAGACTGGCTTGCCGTTGTTGTTACCCAAGCGGGTAGCTTCACACGCTTCAATGTGGGCTCTGCCTGCGGCTACACCATCGACCTCCACACAAACCACAGGCCTCTGGGAGGGACACCAAATGCTGACGCCATGTGCCGCACGGTGCAGCCTGACATGGCCAAGAGTCTCACACCGGGCTTTCCCTGAGTTGTGAGCTGCATTTCGCCTTCCCTCCCTAACCCCACAGACGCGTGGGTAAGGCTTGCCCCAGAGACGGCCAGGCCCCACGCTGTCACGTTCATGCCAAGCCTGGGCCCACCGGCCTAGCTCTGTCAACTCCTGTCAGCATCCACCGAGTGCCCGAGCCCCAGCAGGTCCTACCAGGACCAAGTGTCTCAGCACCAGACACACTCACCTCCACCAGGATGCCCACAAACGGGATGGACGTCTCCTCAAACTTCACAAAGAAGAGCTCTGGGTTTGTCTTCCACACGCCGAGCCACGTTTCCTTCAACTTCAACCTCTCTGACAGGTACTTGCTCATGGCCTCGTCAACGTCCTCTGCCTGGGAAAAGAGAAAGGTGCTTGCACGCACAGAGCACACCAACGCCTGTGACACACTTGCAACATGCATGCAGGACATCATACAGCATAACACACGTGTATGAACAGGGCATCACACCATAACACATGTGAATGAACAGCGCATCACACGCCTGTAACATGTGAGGACAGGGCACCACACACCTGTGACATATCTGTAACCCACATACAAACAAGGGCACCACACATGTGTAGCACATGTGTGTGAACAGGGCACCACACTAACACATGCAGACGTGACCATCACGTGCATGTAACACATGTATGGACAGGGCGCCACACTGTAACACACCTGTAACACATGCAGACATGACCACCACATGCATGTAACACATGTATGGACAGGGCGCCACACTGTAACACACCTGTAACACATGCAGACGTGACCACCACATGCATGTAACACATGTATGGACAGGGCACCACACTGTAACACACCTGTAACACATGCAGACGTGACCACCACATGCATGTAACACATGTATGGACAGGGCGCCACACTGTAACACACCTGTAACACATGCAGATGTGACCATCACGTGCATGTAACACATGTATGGACAGGGCGCCACACTGTAACACACCTGTAACACATGCAGACGTGACCACCACATGCATGTAACACATGTATGGACAGGGCGCCACACTGTAACACATCTGTAACACATGCAGACGTGACCATCACGTGCATGTAACACATGTATGGACAGGGCGCCACACTGTAACACATCTGTAACATATGCAGACGTGACCATCACATGCATGTAACACACATGTATGGACAGTTACATCACATGTCTCTAACATGTATGTACACACTGGATGTCATGTTTGTAACACATGTGTTTGAACAGAGGACCTCACATTCTGATAAAAACATATGTGAATATAGAGCATTTCATGCTGGTGACAGATGTGCATGTGTGAATAGATACAACATTCATAATGAAACGTGTATAACATCAAATTACACTTATGTTAACCAAAAGGCCGAGAAGCGATATCATCAAATTACACATTGATAATGAAAAAACAGAACTATGGTATCCTTAATACTGCATACACTTTAAGCAAAACTGCATTTAAAGGGAAATGTCATTACAGCATTAAAAATAGAATAAACTTGATCCATTCACTTTTATTAAAGAGATAAATCAGGTTTTGTGCATAATCACACCTATTAAAATATGCTAATTATTGTTTGAGCACACAGTAATGACTTTCTCAACTTTAAATACGTGGTGGCCTTGAGTCAAGCATATTTGCTACGCCAAGTTTTACAGGAGCCCCAGGAGCAGGCTTCACGGCTCGGCAGGCTTGTGGCACCTGCGGTCTGCCACTGCTTCCGGTCCACTCCAGCTCAAGGCCTCAGCCCGCCCAGCCCCAACAGCTGGGCACACCCTGGGGTGCCCCCATTACCGCCTTTCAACTAAAAATTAACATTTTCAGTAACCAGCTAAGCTATCCCCAGGGTGTAGCCTAGCCGGCTATGGGGCATGAGACCCTGCCTGACCGGCAGCGCAAGGATTCTGTCCAGCCGCCTCCCCAGTTCATAGCAATCGTTAGCTTATTCATGTGGAAGGCAAGGCAACAACTGAGAGAAATGCGGAGACAGAGCAAGCTTGCATCCTCTGGTTCAGTCCCCAAGTGTCTGCAACAGCCAGGAGTCAGGGACGCCAGCTGGGTCCCCATGCACACGCAGGCGCTCCCCCATGGCCGCCCCAACCGCCCGCGCCACCGCACCTGGCAGCCCAGCAGCACCGCGTCACAGTACAACGCCACCTTCTCTGCCCGCCACATGCCCCGCAGCGGCGACGCGCACACGGCCGGCAGTGGCCGTGCCTCCTCGGCGGGCCCCGCGGGCATCCACCCGGCTGCAGCCTCTCCAGGCTCGGGCTCCGCCACCTCCCCGGGGCGCTCGGCCGCGGGGGCCCCGGGCGGTTGCAGCCGCCGCCGCACCGCCTCCCTGCCGGCTCTGCCCTTGACCGGCCGCGGGGCAGCCACCACCGAGCGCACAGGGGCCGCACTCGCCACCTCCTCGCCCGGGTTCAAGACCCGCAGCGGGTCTTCGGGCCCCGCAGCCCTCAGCCCCGACGCCATCGCCTCCGCACCAGGCCCGTGCCGGCCGTTGGGCCCCCGCCCGATGCGCCAATGGGCGGGGCCGGAACCCCGACGCGCGCCCAGCTCGAGGGCGCGACCTGCCTTTCCACGGAGAGGTGCTGGGTCCGGCTCACCCCTCCTGCCCGCGTGTGCTGGGCTCCTGCCAGGAGGTGTTTTATTCATTTGAAATCCAGAGAGAGAGAGAGAGATTCCATCCCCTGGGTCACTTCCCAAATGGCCGCCAACACCTGCAGCTGCCCAGCACGAAGCCAGAAGCCCAGAACTCCATTTGGGTCTCCACCATGCTGCAGGGTCCCAAACGCTGGGCCATGCGCTGCTGTTTTCCCAGGTGTGCCAGCAGAAAGCTGGATCCGAAGTGGAGCAGCTGTGTGGGATGCCGGCACCCAGCAGAGTGTTTTAGGAAGTGTGGGAGCTGTACCTGTACCCCAGCTCATTTCAGCAACACAGGCAGCAGTAAAGGAAAAAACAAAACAGCTCAGCCAGGACTGGCATTTCAGTGTTTCCTCTCAGCTTGTGCTATGTGAGACAGCGTAAATTCCTCCATGCACTGGTTTCCTCTCCCTGGACGGCTAAGGCTGGACCACAAGCTCAGTCCAGGCTCTGGTGTGGGTGGCAGGCACCTGGTTGCTTGGGCCTTGGTGTCAGCAGGCCGTGGGCGCCACGATGGGCGGGGGCAGTGTCCTACCTGAGCCAAACACTCACCACTGACTTCTTACACTCAGGACTGTACGATGTGTATTTCTTTAGTGACCCTGGAGGGGTGGAGACGGACCACACTTCTCTCGCCTGGTCTGTCCCCAGATGCCTGTGTGGCCAGCATTCAGGGGACTGCGCTGACCCACAGGGTGGAAGCTGTCGCTAGGGCGCCCCAGAGTCTGCGCTGGCAGGGGCTGCAGCTGGGGCCAGCCCGGGGCACTCCAGCCCCAGAGCAGGCCTCATACCCGACAGGCCCGACCCTGCTCTCCAGGCCTCCTCCATCCCAGCATGGCTCCGTTTGCTTTGTGGTGCTACACTGTAGGGCGTATTCCATGTTTTGGGAGCGCGTTGAGTAGCAAGTGATTCTTCAAACACGCCATGCCCCACGCAGATGTAGTCGGCAATCCTCTAGGGTGCCACATGCCTGGTCACGTGGTCCCTAGTGGAGAGGGGAGAGGGTCCCTTCGTGCTGCGGTCCCAGGGTATCAGTACTTTCAAGATTGACTTACGTGACGTCCTGCCTCTGTGAGCAGACAACTTTCGGGGAGCTGCAACTTGGCAATGGTGCTGGGAGGTGACGTCTGGCATGCCCTGAAGCTCCATGATGTAGGTGTGGTGCTCGGGGCCTTATGTTAATGGAGACGGACTCAAAGCAGGGCTGAAGGCAGGGCTTTGGGGAGTGTCTGGATTAGGCTATTTGGGATCGGGCCTGTGGAACCCTGCAAGGGTGATAGATGTGACCTGTCTGCCTCCCTCCCACCCATCTCCCTGCTCGCTGTCTGCCCCATCTACCCATGAGCCCTTCTTCTACACACCCCAGAGCTCACCAGAGGCTGAGCCAAGAGGATCCCCAACCCATGTTGTTCCATGAGCCCTCAACAGCACACGCCTGCTTCCATCACAGTCTCTGTCACGCCCATCCTCGTGGCAAGAAACCAGCGACACAGCAGTAGGCTGCAGACCCCAAGCCAGGGCAAGCGGGTGCGGTGGCAGGCCAGCTGTGCAGGCAGTGACCAGTGGGCCCACTGACAGAGGGCATCAGTGGACGGAAGCTCAGGGAGCTGAGGGTGCATGTTGGGTCATGAGGCCCTGGTGTGCGAGGCTGGAGTCCATGTTGTACGTCACATCAGGGCCCTGCCCCACGTGTGGCCCTCAGCATCCGTCCCACATTGAGCCCCGTCTCCAGGTGGTGACAGTGACTGGCTTCTGCACGCTGTGTTACGAGAGGAGCCAGGTGGCCAGGACAGACCCTCAGGATGGCTCGCTGCATCTCAGGGAACCTTGCCTGGATCAGGGAGAAGTGAGCTGGGGTTCAGGGGCACCTGGGATTCCATGTCATCACTGTGTCCCCATGGCACCCCCCCACAGGTCTCAGGCTGCACGCCCCCCTGGGACAGGAGCTGCTGGGGCTATGGCTCAGGCCCCTGGAGCCCTGCCTGGTCAGTTTATCTTCCTTCGACATCAGGGTGTGGTAAGAGCTGTCCGCATGGCATCGGGGTCTGAACACTCCCTGACGGGCGTGTCTCACACCATCTGGCCCAGGTATAGAGTGGATTCCCAGGCAATGATTTGCAGAAGTGTCTGAGGGGAGTGGCCTCTGAGGACATCAGCGATGGGCAGATGTGGCAGCATGCTGAAGGTGCCCAGTGCTCCCAGCAGCAGCTCTGAGCTGGGCTGTCCTCCCTCGCGGTGAGACAGGCTCCCGGTCGCTGGTGTGGGCTGCCATGAGAACCCATCCGGGAGTCCACACTGTAGCTGGGACATCAACCCCAGCTCCGACAGCCAGGGCGAAGGCCACCTGGGCTGGCTTCCCTGCAAGGCCTAGAGTGAATTCCCGAGTGGCCTCAGGTGCACCCCAAGTCATTACAGCTTATTTGCCACCAGAAACTCACTTTGGACCTCAACTTGTATTCACATAAGTGCATTGCGGGGCTGTATGCGGACTTGTAAATGCTGGGCGGCCTGCACTCCCAGGCTCCCAGGAGTAAAGGCACTGCAGCTGCCTGTCAGGGCGCCCTGAGAACTCAGGTCCACGCACACAGGACCGCCGAGCAGCAGATTCTTCCAGTGGGGGTGGCATAGGCAGTGGCCTCGGGGCAGCGGGGGCAGCGGGGGCAGCGGCCTGGATCCCGCCGAGGCGGGGAGAAGCCGCTACCCGGGCATGTGTGTGGCTGGGCTGCAGTCTCAGAGCAGAAGGTGATGACATGAGAGTCACGCAGGTGCACAGACACCATGCGTGGTGCAAAACTCACCTTCGTTGTCCGCTCCCTACAGGCATCTGAAGCCCCATGTGCAGAGGGGACTGAAAGAATGGAATGACAGGGAGAGGCGGCCCTTGTCACCCCCATCCTCAAATGCTGGTGCAGTTGAGGCTGCGTCAGGCTGAGCCAGGGCCTGGCCCTGCACCTGGGTCTCCTGCGCAGTTCTTGGTGCGCGTGTGGAAGCCTGTGGGACTCAAGTGGCCTCATCAGCCCAGCTTTAATGCCCTGGCGACTCCAAGCATGAACACATGGACCATGATGGTTGCAGACAGGCCCCATGCTAAGCCCTTCATGGGGCAGAGCATGGGTGAAAATGGAGTCGGGCAGCTTTCCGGACGACCAAGAGCCCAGCCTTGATCCAGCAATTTCCGTACGGTGTGTCCCTGCTCTCACTCGTGTGCTTAAGCCCAGCCTTGTGCGGTAATGGCAGCCCCAGGACAGGCTCAGGGTGCAGCATGCTTTGGTTCTCATGACACGGTCAACGTTCATGTGAGAGGGTGGGCTGGACCATGACCTGACTGACGCCAGTCCTCTATGGCCGTCGCCCAGACCCCAGTTCTGGGGTGTCACGGGGACGCTGTGACAGGGGCCCGAGTCTGAGGAGAAGTTCTGGGGTGTCACGGGGACGCTGTGACATGGGCCTGGGTCTGAGAAGTCATCTGATCTGTCACAGACACGCTGTGACATGGGCCAGGAACTGAGAAGTCATTCTGGTATATCACAGGACGCTGTGACAGGGACCCGAGCCTGAGGAGAAGTTCTGGGGTGTCACGGGGACGCTGTGACAGGGGCCCGAGCCTGAGGAGAAGTTCTGGGGTGTCACGGGGACGCTGTGACAGGGGCCCGAGCCTGAGGAGAAGTTCTGGGGTGTCTCGGACCCCCGCGCCTTCCCGCCTGCGGCTCCCGCTCCGACCACCGGGGGGCCCCGGGGAGCTGGGCGCCGGCGGCCGGGTGGGGCCGCCGCATTCCCGGGGCCTGACTCAGGCCCTGCTGGACCCGCCGGGACATGGCTGCCTCCGCCCGCCGGGGCTGGGCCTGCGGCGGCCCGGGCGTCCCTCGGGAGCGGCCGCGGGCAGGCAGGGCTCCGGGCTCCGGGCTCCGGGCTCCGGGCTCCGGGCTCCGGGCGGGCGCTGTGGGTCCTGGGCGCTGCTGCCCTCCTGTGCTTTCAGTCGCATTTACTTTGTGGACCTTTGTTTTCCTAAAGCTGCAGAAGCACAGCGCCTGTGCGGCAAATCAAGCTGAATTGCTGCCCAGGCCCCGTGCACCCTGGGAAGGCGGAGGTTGGCTCCAGTCCTAGGGCTCCGGCCCTCCCCTCCGCCCCAGGACTGGCTCCCAGCTCCTGGCTTCAGCCTGGCCCGGCCCTAGCTGTTGCAGCCATCGGGAGAGCGAACCAGCAGATGGAAGAGCTCTTTCTTTTTGTATCTCTCTATCTCTGCACTCCAAGTAGATGAAGCATTGCCATTATTTAATTTGGGGGACCATGCTGTGGAGTGCTGGCCGTCACTGGCTGGGGGCTCGGGGGAATTCTGTGTTTTTTGTTAGCATGTACAAACAGTAGCTCTTTGTCTGAGCTGTGAGCAGGACAGGGGCCGCCCCCTGGGGGAAGGAAGCGCTTCCTGGCAGGAAAGAGGTTCTACAGCCTTCGCAGTCGGGAGGCTCTGGAAATCCCAGGGAAAGGGCATTGCTGGGCGCGGGCAGCATCCGGAGGCACGTTTCCCAGGGTGGAGCCTGGGAGCTGGTGCAGAGGGCGACTGGGCCCGAGTGCCAGAATGGGCTGCCTGCACACAGCCAGCCTGAGCCGCTTCCGGCTGGGCAGTCTGTGACAGGGAGTGACAGAACTGTGTCACCCGCTGTGAGACGCCAGGAAGAGGACCTGTGCAGGGCGCCGGGTGCTGGCCGCCATTCCCTGAACCTAGAGCGCCTGGTGCCCGAGGCCACAGCAGGAGTTCTCCAGCCACATGATACACACAGTGCAAGTACAGCACACACAGGCAGACACTTGGTTCACTGTGTACACAGCAC